TCGAGGGAATCCGTGGAAAATTAGGCAACGGTATCGGGTTTTTTGAGGGGGGCGTGTGGTAGGCGGCGAGGATAGGTGGGCGGAGGGGTCATAGGTAGAGTTCAGAGCGGTCGCAGGGATAGGGCTGGTCGCGGGGCGGTGTGTGGTGGGGCCCGGTGGGTGGGTGGGGGGGGAGGGTTCTGAAAGAGACTAATGAAGCGGAAACGTTTGTTTTCGTATTGGAGCAGCTTCCCCCCTCATTTTTCACCGGCGCGGCGCTAACTTTTTTTTCGGGCGTGCAAAGCGAGTCACGCCGCGTCGGTCGCCATGCTACGAAGTCGATGTCTGTCAAGCCCTCATTTCAGCCCCGCGCGGGAAACCAATATCCCGTTATCGGATTCGTGAGAGGAGGCAACGGCACGTAACATCGGAAATTAAGAGGCTTTTAAAAAATTGATGACTTTTGTGTTTTCGTCGTCATCGTTGTCGTTTTTTCTGTCGTTGCCGTCGTTTTCGTTGGCGTCGCACGGTGGATCGAATCAGTCGGAGAGATCGGACACGAAATTTTATGCTATAAATGCAAATTTTGATGTTTAACCCTTCGTATTTTTAATTTAAAGGGGAGAGTCTAGAAGAAAACTTCACGAGGAAACCAATGGAACCACTTTTAAAATCTCAAAGTTTTGCATAGACGGAGCTATAAGCTTTTTTAAGTTTCCAAATTTTGTGCGACATCTCCCATTGACTGGTTCCACTGTGCGTCGTTGTCGTCTTTGCAAAAATAAATGCAAATTTTGATGTTTAACTCTTCGTATGTTTAATTTAAAGGGGGGAATCTAGAGGAAAACTTCACGAGGAAACCAATGGAACCACTTTTAAAATCTCAAAGTTTTGTATAGACGGAGCTGTAAGCTTTTTTAAGTTTCCAAATTGTGTGCGACATCTCCCATTGACTCGTTCCACTGTGCGTCGTTGTCGTCTTTGCAAAAATAAATGCAAATTTTGATGTTTAACCCTTCGTATTTTTAATTTAAAGGGGGGAATCTAGAAGAAAACATCACGAGAAAACCAATGGAACCACTTTTAAAATCTCAAAGTTTTGTATAGACGGAGTTATAAGCTTTTAAAGTTTCCAAATTTTGTGTGACATCTCCCATTGACTCGTTCCATTGTGCGTTGTTGTCGTCTTTGCAAAAATAAATGCAAATTTTGATGTTTAACTCTTCGTATTTTTAATTTAAAGGGGGGAATCTAGAAGAAAACTTCACGAGGAAACCAATGGAACCACTTTTAAAATCTCAAAGTTTTGTATAGACGGAGCTATAAGCTTTTAAAGTTTCAAACTTTTGTGCGACATCTCCCATTGACCCGATCCACTGTGCGTCGTTGTCGTCTTTGTCGGCGCTCACAAAAATTGACCTTTCCATTCTGCTTGTGCAGGGCTGCCGGCTGTCTGTAAAACTGGGAAAACTAGGGAATTTCTGATACAAAATCACTAAAACATATCAATGATCTTTCATCTGTTTACCCCTTCTGATCATTTTTAAGGCTTGTCATCTTTCAACCGGCTACCAAACGCTTTTGTCATTGATTTGATCCCTAAAAAAGGAACTTTCGTCAAAAGTGTAGCCAAAGTCAGCCTGCTTAAAAAACATTTCGTCTGAAGTTCCTGAAAATGTCAATGAAAAATACTCATATCTGTACTAAAAGAAACATGTTATCGAAAGAAGTTTGGAAATCCTCGAATGTTCATACGGCGTTTTCCTTAGCTTGGCAGCATTTGAGGCCTCCTCACGAACGACAAAGCTTATACATAAGGAAAGGAACAGTTGCGTGGCGTGAATTGCGATATATCGATTGTTATGCCATTTAACCCTATGGTAAAGAATCGATTATTAGGGTGTTCGCTGCGAACACCCTGTTTATCGATCCTTTTCCATAGGATTAAATAGCATAACAATCGATTTATCGCAATTCACGTCACGCCACTGGAAAGGAACCACCGTGAAGACGACCCTTTACCGGATTTTCTCAGGGAAAGGGTAACTGCATGAGGATTGACTGTAAAGGTCCTAAATCTCAATGTAAACCTTATGGGGCCTCTTCGAGTATAGGATCTGCTAAAAGAACAGAGACAAGAGACCCTCCACTAGTATCTTGGCCATTGTGGAAGCTTTTACTTTTGGGACTTTAGCATTCTACTGTTGACTTACCTACATGGTTGATGTTCAACAACGTGTTGGCTAGTTCCGTTTAGCAAACAAGCCGAAAATGGCCGAAGTTTGGGAAACTTGTTTGGCTCATGAAGCTCATCATCCACCTTGTAGATAGGTAAACAGCCGAAACTAGGGTGATGACTGTTGCTCCCTAATAATTGTCCATAAGGAATTGTTGAAACCCCGAAAGTAAAAGCTTCCACCTGTCGCCAGGAGGCCAGTGGAGGGTCTCTTGTCTCTGTAAAAGAACGACTGCGAGTATGGCCTTTAAGGTTGAATCGGGGAATGAGCGGTGAGTTGGGGCGGAGGACTGAGAAAGCTACTCGATTTCCTCGAATAATTTATGGACACGTGTTCATCGTGTGAAGCTTGACGCCCCGTCGTTGGCCACGACAGCGCCGGACTCTGCCATCCTCCGCAAGATCGCCCCATGAACATTTTCACATTGCAAGATTTCCCCTTTTGAAATGCTAATTTTCTGGAAAAATTATGAATATTTCTTCTTGAAATCTTCAGATACTTTAGATCACACTGAGAAGAACATTCTCAGAGAAATTGGATAGAAAATATTCACAAGTTTCCCTGAAAATTCGTGTTTTATCAAAAGAAATTTGGAAACATCCGGAGGCTCCTACCACGTTTTCCCTCAATCGCTCTTCGACCGACCGTAACCTTGCTTTAATGAAGCGACGATTCACCGGTAATCGGCAGCCAGCGAGTCGATTGTTGAAAATACAGAGGCGGATCCAGCAATTTGGCAACACCGGATTTGCTCCATTTAAACCTATGCTAAATAATCGATTCTTTTCGGAGCACTCGGCCCCTTCAAGAATCGATACGTTTCCATGGGTTTAGATAGAGAAAAGCAAATGTTGCCAATTTCCTGGATCCGCAAAGCATCTTTGCTGGAGCAAGTTGGCAACGCTGACTCCCTTCCATTTAAACCCGGGTTGAATAATCGATTCCTGTCGGAGTACCGGGCCCCTCCGAGAATCGATATATTTCCATTGGTTTTAATGGAGAGAATACAACGTTGCCAACTTTCTGGATTAATCAATATCGTTGAATCATCATCGGGTGATCTTGATCGATCTCCATCTCAGCAATGATATCTGGACGGATTTCACCGTGGAAAACGGGCTTTCCACCAGATTTTCACCGACCAATTTCGAGCCAAATCGGAGGAGGTCGAGTTCCGGACCGGGTTAAATCGACTTAATGAGGGGTTTGGAGGGCAAGGTGCATAAATGCAGTTTTTGAAAAAATCCAGGTATAAACAGTTACCAGTAAAAATAGTCTAAATACATATTCTGTGAAAAATTCGCTCCCAATCCCAATTTTTCAGCCTTAAAAAATCAGTTTGAACTTCCTCTCCGTCATGAGGATCTATGTGATTTCGAAACTTCAAACGCGAGTTTTTTGAAATAGGAAAAACCGCACTTATGCGCCTTGTCCTCTAAGCCTCTTATTTAACTTTTCTCCCGAATCTGAGTGACAACTCATTGACAGCATGGAGCGGTGCATTGCGAGTTCACCGCGCCTCGCATCATCGCGCCTTCAATTTTGCAGATGAAACACGGACATCCATCAAGCACGAATAGTTGTATCTCTGCGCCGTCACCAACGCGCGTCCTTTCCCTTGCTCTATTTCCAAATTATGCTGGTTCCGTATGTCCCATTTGTACTGTGCTTCAAGGGCTACGCGAGCAACACAGCCGTAGTTTGAAACGACGTAATCGGGCCTCGTTTTTTAATTTTCCTCCCGAATTTGAGCGACACCAGCACAGCGCAGCGGCAGCACAGAGCGGATCAATGCAAGCTGCGCTTCGCGCCACCGCGTCTCCAATTTTGCAGATGCAACATGATCATGGATATCCACCAAGCACAAACTTTTTTACGTGTTGTATCTCTGAGCTGTCATCAACACGCGTTCGTTCCGGTGTCTCTTAGAGTACCTGTGCACGAGAGAGTATTGCCATCTCAATCCTTACAGAAAAAGTGCGCCGCTCTCTAATTGGTCGGCTATCATGGAACCCCAAAGTTGGACCAATGTAAACAAACCCCAGCCCCTCCGCTCCTAGTTCGGTCCAATGTAAACAAACAAAATGGCGAAGAAGTTCTACAAAGTTCTAGATTTTGGGTGCGATAGAAATTTTTTTATATCCAATTTCTGAGTTGAGGTCGGATCGAACTTTGATGAATATTTTTGCCGAAAATTAAGCTGTGAGTGTGGTTATCATTCATTTCTCAGCCGATAATACGTGTCCCTCTGGGTCGGGTTTGTTTACGTTGGTCCAACTTTAGAGCTCCATGATAGCCTGAAATTGATGAACCAATCAGAGAGTAGCACAGTGATAGCAATTCTCTCCCGTATACAGGTACTCTAGTGTCCCTTATTTTTTAAATTTGAGACAAATTTAAGGTTCACTGGAAAAAAAAAAACACATTGGATCTAGAGTCCAGACTATTAAAAACATCGACAAGAAAAAATACTCCTGATTCAATAGGATTTTTGCTTAAATCAAAAGGAAATCCGCTCAAATTAAGAGGCATGGTTTTTGATTCAAGCAAAAATCCGATTGAATCAAGAGTGTTTTTTCTTGTCGATGTGTTTAAGACTCTGGATCCAATGTGTTTTTTTTCCAGTGTTAAGTTTGCCCAAATTATGCTTAATTATCACTCAATTATCTCTAAGTGTCTTTATGGAATAATGTTGATGTTTGTTAATGTGCCTTTAACTTTTTTAAACCTCTCCTCATTCTCTCAGACCAAAAATTACATCTTCTTTTGTTCATTTTGTTTCAGGAAAGATGCTGCATTAGCCAATGCTGTAAAGCGTAAGTTGTCGCATTTTATCTTAGAGTCTCAGCAAAATTATCAATTTCTTTTACTTCATGAATAATGTATGCTTATTGCTTCCAATTATATGTTTAAAATTCACATGAGAGAATTCAGCACTAGCTTTTCCCGAGACTGAGGCAATATTCCTAGTTTTTTTTTTATCATGAGTAATTGTTGAAACAGCATGACAGGGGAAAAAATGATTTCCTATAAATGTTTCTGTTGAGTTATTTTATTAAGAACAGTATGCACCCTGAAAAAAAATACCGATAGAATTTACCATTCCTTCGCCCTGTATTTCACACAGCGTTAATGCAGAGTCAATTCTGTCAGAAGGTAGGTAAACGTTACTATACACTGGTACAGGTAACCATTTCTTCGGCAGAATCGACTTGAAGATTGGTAGAATTTACCATTCTTTCACGCTGTGTGAAATACAGCGTGAAGGAATGGTAAATTCTACCAATCTTTTTTTTCAGTGCATATTAAAAATAAATCACGTCAATTGACTTGTAGATCGATTCAAACGAGACACCGATTTACAGAGACAATGGAAATAATTTAGAGTCATTTTAGAGACAATTAATGAATTGAAATTTATTCAAATTGGACTTGAAAGTAGAATTAGAGTTGACTCGGTCTTATATTCAACATGTAAATAGAATATTATTATTTTGAATTTGCAGGTTTCGCCTATCTTTCCCCTCCGCAAAGATGGAGACGCTCGCGTAATTCGAGAGCGCATATTTGAATTTAGCGCGCATTAATCCAGCAAAAAGCGCGGGAAACGGAAACGCTGAGGAAAGACCACTGGGGAGGGGAGTGGGATGTTGGGTGTATTCATTATTCTTCAACTGCTACAGTCAGTAACCATATTACTTCCGTCAGTTAGAATTCTTTTATTGAATCATTAGGTTTCGACCACCTCTCTTTTCCACAATTACAGAAGCGCTCATGGAAATCGGGAGCGCTTATTTGAATTTGGCGCGCATCAACCTGTCAAAAAGCGCGGGAAACGGAAACGGAAACGCGTAAAAACGGAAATGGAGAAACACATCACGCACTCTGTTTACAAAATTCCGAATCTTTGTAACATGTGCGAATGTGAGGTTAGACGTTTGAATAGAATAGATTACTTATAGATTTGTTTACAAAACCCTTATCAACATTCAACTTCTATTTTTGTTTATTATTTTGAAAATGAAGCGCTTTACTTCACAGCAGAATAATACCATCCAACAGCAAGAAGTGGATCATTATCATGTCTTTTCAATCATCCCTTACCCAGAGGTTCGTAATAACCATTAGATATCTGTTTTGGAAGTGACTTGTCGACTGTGCCCGTGTATGTCTGCTCAGCAGATGAATTTTTATACCCGCTGAAATCGAATTCTACGCAATAAATTCCCCTATGTTACTCCTCTAAGATCCATCATTTTAAACATTGCTCAGGAAGGTAGTGCAGTGAAGTAAATTTACGTCTATACTATGCACACAGGGCAGGGTGGTGTACAATCAGTGGATCTATTACAGGCTCTCTTGAGGGGCTTTGAGGACAAGGTGCGCCAGTGCAGTTTTTTGAAAAATTGAGATATCAGTGTTCTGCCTTCCCTGGGTACCATGCGCTTAATAATCAGGCCTTGGCGCCTAGAAGTTGGAGGGGGGGGGGGGCTGGGCCATCGTGGCGCCTTAAAATTTGACAGATTGAACTTGCATTCGGGATGCAGTGGTAGCGATGAAGCGCTCTCTATACGCACCGTTTTCAGCGCGTGTTTTTTAGAACATCTCACAGCGTTAGGCCTGTTATACTCTGCAACTCTGCATTCATGCCCTCTGCAAATTTTCATTCGCCATGGCCTGTATGGTAAAATTTCATTTGGCTCCTAAAAATTGGGCTTTCCGGCGAAGGTAGCTCCTAAAATTTCAGGGGGAAGGCAGAAAACTGATTGAGATATTAATGATTTCAAATAAAACTAGTCTTCTGCATATTCAGTGAAAAATTTGCTCATAAATTCCAATTTTTAAGCATCAAAAAGTCAGTTCGAACTTTCTTTCTGCTACAAGGATCCATGTAATTTTGAAACTTTGAACACGTATTTCTTGAAATAGCAAAAACTGCACTTATGCGCCTTGTCCTTCAAGCCCCTCTGTTGAGATCAGTTCGGAATTGATCCCTCTTATATAAGTAAAGAGCTTGTATCAGAAGTGGCAAGTTTATTATCACCTTGTTGGTTTCTGAATTCTCTCAGTTAAGTACCTAGCCTGGCCCCACAAGACATTTGTCATCAAAGACCGGAAAATATTAATTTTATTCCTGAATGCACTCTCTTATTTTTGCAATCCGAAGTTCATTTGAAGAGTTGAAGTGCTATTTATCTGAGCGCTTTAACTTCATCAATGGCACATACAGCATTGCAGTAAAGCTCAGCGGCTGTGTTAGGAATAAGCCAATGTTAAGGAATGCAACAACTCTGGCAAAGTGGGAAATGGCTGAGCGTGGCATTGGTCTGGTAGAATTGGACTCAGTCGGTGCAATTTCTCACAGACAGGTAATGCTGGTAGTATTGCACATGAAACATCCATGAATTAATCATAGTATATCCGTGTAGTGTGGAATGCCGACTACCAAATGGTCATGTGCCCAGTGTTCCTGGGTGCTCTTTGTACGTACATTCTGCCACTCATCATGCTGCCATTGGCTGCTTTGTCATTCTGTGACATCTGGTGTACGGATTGTTTAAGATATGGGAGCGTTTTCCCGCAAGCTTTTGGTCCGTGCCAGTATAGGGAAGATCCGCACGGCATGGTTATATTTCACACATTTGGGATCACTGAATGTCCCTCTCTTTTTCTGTTGTCTCAAAGGGACTGATTGGACAGTGGTCATATTACGGATTTTTAAGTGTCCATTAAAAGCTTTCAATTATGGAGATGAAACCTGGGACTTCAGTGCTGTCAGTAAATCGCCTTAACCGCCACACCTTAAAGGTTCCAAATTCAGTTTAATCAGTAACAGCCAAATACAGAGCAAAAATAGGTGAAACATTTAGATTTCCTAGTTCTCTTTGTTCCATCTCTTAAATTTTCTTATTGCAAAGAATTTCATCAATAACCAGCTGATTTTTCCTTACAATTCCTCATAGCTTCCCTCTATGCCCTTGTTCACAGGCAGATGATGGCCCCCTCCCTGATAGGCACTCTCCCGGCCCAGGGGGAGCGCCGGCCGGAGCTTTGAGAGGTAAAATATGTCTCAGGATTCCAGTTCTTATATAAGTGAGGAACGCAGTTTTTTCCGTCCGTTCACCAGAGAGTCTGTCAAAGAAATCGAAGAACGAATCGCCGAAGAACATGCCAAGCAGAAAGAGCTCGAGAAGAAACGTGCGGAAGGAGAGGTAAGCTGTAACTTCCACCTTTGAGTTTCACTTCTTCTTATTCTATTGACATTCGTTGCTTAATTTGAAATTTGTCTAAAGCTGTAACAATAATTTTGTACTTTGATGCTGTCTGGGCGTTTTGTGAATCCATTGTCATATTTTTAGTGAACTTGGAATAAAGTGGTGTGTTAACAATGACCGAAATCCCCTCCTGATTCGGTTTGATTTTCCTTAGGATAGGATCTGTTTTTTCTGCAAGCATCAAGGCCCGAAAATTATTTCCGTCCAAATAGCAATGTTGCCAAATTTAAAACTATGGATTTTAAAATGCTATCATTTGAACAAGGAATATTCAACTTACAAAAAAATATTCAAATCTAAATCAATGAATGCACAATATTCCAAAAGACAAAAATATAAATAGCTTGTCCAAATTGTATTGCAACATTGTTTATTCATGCACTGTTCACAAGATACAGAATTTTAAAGTTGTAAAACTTGGCAATGCTGCTACGAAGACAAGAATTAGTATTACGTCTTAATGTATTCAGGAGAGACATACCCTATCCTTAGAACTAGTGTGTAAAATGAAGGGCATGAACTCAATTAAAAAAATTATATCTGAAGCATTATTTGAAAAAAAAAAAAAAATCTGAATACTATGAAACATTAATAGCTTGATAGCTGGTAAGAAAATGTGTTTTAATGTCAGAAGAAAAAAAATTTAAAATCACTTACGGTTTTGCTATTACCTACTGAAGTTCTGTAAATCTAGAAAGTCAATTTCAACCTGCCACAAAACTTTACGCTTTTGAAGAAAAGTATTTTAAAAATTGTGACAGCAAAGCTAATAATTTGGAAACAAATTTCAGACAATATTAAACCGTTTCATCAGAATATTTCATGAGAACCCCAGATTTGAAATATTTGAGTGGTTAAAATATGTAGGCAGTATTTTTGTAACCTAGTTCATAAAAGTTTCCTATCCTTTTTTTGGGGCACCACAGTTTTCAATCAAGATTTTGAGGTTGAATTTTATTCTAATAGAAAGCTATGCATAATTGGTGTTTGGTATTTATCAATTAAAATCCTCAATGTTATGCAAAAATTATTCTTACTGGATGTCTATTTCACAATTTCTTCTTATTTCTATCCGTATCTTTGGGAATTTTTCTTTCTAGTTTTGAGTTGTAAGTCAATGTGCAAATTGATCTTTGAGAATTTTTTTCATTCCATAAAATAATTATTATTTGAGTCTGATTTTTTATGTGACTTTTAGGGGGATTTTGGACGGAAGAGAAAGAAGAAAGAAGTAAGCAAATGTTTGAGTTGATTTCTGCTATGACTTTCTGAATGATTTTTATTTTTTAGTCGATTCTCCACATTTTTAAAACAAGTTAATGCTTGCCACCAATTATATCCTTATTTTTAATAGGCTGGCTAGGCACTTGAAGGATAATGTGGATGCAGAATTCAGGTGACATTTTTGTGATTTGAACAAGAATTTTCTGTTTTGTTTATTTGATTACTGACAGGAAAACTTGTCCTTGGTTGTATCTACTTTCATGCACCGATAAATTGACAAAGTAGCAGGGTTCTGATATTTAGTAGTTTTGCAGAGTACTTCCATAGATGACCACAACAGAATCAGTCTCTCTTTTTCAAAAATGTCACTCAATTCTCTGTTCTGCAGTACCCTTCAGTCACTGTTGACTGATATCTGTATCTCCTCCAGGATTTGAAATGAAGCCTTATTCTTTATTCGATCTGTTCAAAGTAGAACCTTTTCGGTAATGATTTGTCAATATTATGAAAGTGACTACTATCATTTGTCCAGTCATCTATCATTGACAGTTTAACTTCGGTCCAGCACATCCATGTTCCTCACTAAAATTCAAAGAACTTTAAAAAGGTATCTTTGTTTTTTTCTGGCTCAAAAATTTTAAACATTCGAGTCAATCAAAATAAGTCTACTCACTTTCAAATTCTTTCAACTACATTCAATTCAGTTAGATAAATATATTTGTTGAAATAATTGCATTGAGTCATCAAGCTATATGCAGTGTTTTGTGTTGAATGAAAAGGTTACTGTATTCAAATTTAAATATAAACATACTGCCCGAATTACAATAGAAAAAAATTAAATAAAATAAAGGCTGAAAGTAAATCATCAATAAAAATACCAAGAAATTTTGGGACTCTCTAGAATTCTTTTCAACTGATGAATCAAATATGATCAAAGAGAGTGAAAAAAGAAGGAAATGAGCTGAAAATACTTTGTATCACAAAATTACCTATGATATGTTGAGTTGAACGAGACTGTCAAGTCTAGTACTTAACAATGAATGCTTCAAACTCTCTACGCACCCTGCATAAAACAGTTTTTGAAACACATTGATTTGAGTGTAATCAGTACATCTGGACCCCGTTTAACAGAAAGGAACCAAGCCACATCAGCTATTGCCAATTTTAACTGGGCAATTTATTTTTTTACGAGAAAACGTTTGTGCGGATCCTTTTGAAAATGTTAAGAAATTTGCTTCGCACTATGGAGAAAATTCACTGAAATTTGCATGAACATCCGCCCAACTGTTTTCATGTAAAAAATTAAATTAGTCAATTAAATTTGGCAATAGCTAATGTGGCTTGGTTCCTTTCTGTTTAACGCGGTCCATCTCTATTGTCTGTTGCTGGATTTCCCCTCTTTTATTAAATCTACTAAAATTTTTTATCATCGTTTCGTTTTTGAATTTTAAATTTTTATTCTTTGTCTCCATTAATGCTCGGAAGTCTTTTTTTTTTTTTGTTTTTAGCTATTACTTTTTTTAATCAACTCTCTGCTGTAAGTTTTATTTTCGGTCTTATGATTTAAAAGGCGATCATATCTCTTCAGAGAATTTGAAAGTGAAGTAAAATTTTAAAGACTGAAAAGTGTCATAAAATCTACTGCACCTAGTGAACCTGTCGAAATCTGGGATGTTTTCATTCTCTGGAGGAAGATTAAGACTATCAGTTTTTTAAAAACTCTCTAGAGGATACTTCATAATTTTTTTTTCATTTTAAAATCTCCCCTTTTTCCTGGCTTCAATATATACCTCAATATTTAACTAGAGCTTGAGGTTAGATACATTTTTGATACTTTTCTCACCTATCATTTGAACATCAGCTTTCTCAACAA